CCCCAAAACCCCAAAACCCCAAAACCCCAAAACCCCAAAACCCCATATAAGGATACTATCTTGAGAATTATTAATAAATTAAATAATCACCATGCTTCAGCAAAACAAGTGAGTATACAATCATCCAACTTACTTTTTAAGTGGGTGGAGAAACCTCCTCACTGAACTAATTCAGGATGGAGGGTAATAGATAAATTAACTGCATAACTGATGTTCTTAGGCCTTCTTTATACATTTACTTGCTAATATATGTGTAATATATCTCATTGCTAATAGAATAGAAATGTATGATTTCTAAAGTAGATTCATCACACGGCTCGTTGTCTATTAGTTTGATTTGAACTCCAGATTGTCTCATGTGCTCATTTTAAAGCTTATTCTAAATTTTTTTATAGTATCTCAACTGAAAGTTCAAACCCACTTCAAATCATTCATAAAGAATCACCAAACAACAGCTATGATTTCGCTGGATTTCATAATCTTCAAAATTTTGAAGGGTTTTCACACGACTTTGACACCCATTGGCCAACAGCAAATGATAGGCACTTCAATATTGGGATGAATGAAGGCTATCAAGCTATTCCTTCATTGAACTCAGTTTATGGCCAACTCTATTCTGCAAACGAAAGTGGGGTGTTAAATCCGAATTTACACCAAGATATGGCCTTATCTACACAGCAATATGGATATCCCTATGATGTATACAGCCAACTTGCTTTGGCTTCAATGGACTTATCTGGGTACTGTCTGTGTGGTTTGAATGGCTCTGTTAATATGAACGGTCTCAATTCATATTTAGCTACACCCTCCAAACACGAAAAATCTTCTGAACAAAGAAAAACTAGGTGAACTCCTAAGACTGAAAGCGAAAGTACTACTCTCAAAGGATACAGGTTCAGGTTCAGACACGAGACTATCAACGGACGCAAGAGAAAGATCATTCAGTGTCAGTATGATGGCTGCTCTAAAGAGTTCACCAAGACCTGGAGCTTCTTGTATCATGCAAGAATGCATGAAGGCGAAAAGCCTTTCGAATGCAAGATCTGCGAGCGCAAGTTCAGCCAGAAGAGCAACCTGACCAAGCATATGAAGCATCACATGCTGACCACCATCAGCCAAAGAAAGTTGTTCAAATGAAGGCTGTGTCCGAAGGGGTACACTGAGAGATACAACTTAAGAGTAAGCTATTTTATGATTCCTTCATTTGTCTCTAACTTAATTATTTGTTCTCTAATTTGAAGAACGTTCTTGCTGATTTCTAAAGCTCCTTTTATGTAAAAATGATATAAATCCAGAGAGTCGTTGTTTAATTAGTTTTCAAAATTTGGATTCATCAAATTTTAAAAGTTTACACTATTGCATATTTAATTCAGGTGAATAAATTCTAAACTTTAGCAGAGTAAATTAAACAAGTTTAGAGTTAAATATGGGAATAACGTGGCTCTTGTATAGTCTAGTCCTTATCTTCGTATATAAATTTGCTTAAAGTTTCATTCAGAACCGATTACTTTTAGTTTTGAATTCGTAGATTTCTTCTAAGAACCGATTGAATAAACACTGAATTCTTTTACTGATGTCTTTAATTACAATTGCTAACTTTATTATAGAAGCATCTCAAGGCTGTGCATAGAATAACCACAAACAGAGACTTGACCCTCACTGGACATCAGCCAGCAAGCAATTAGGAAAATAAGGAGTTCCAAATATCAGGAAATCAGAGTCGCCCAAACCAGGTTTAATTAATTCATGATCTCTAATAATTCTTGATCTAATTGACCCTTAAGTTTGAGCCCTATCACTCTATTGATAGCTGCCCATTCAACCTTCAAATTTTGAGCACTCCAACTCATTTTCGAATAGAATTTGTAAAAGACTTTTGCTCATTTAGTGATTACTATCAAACTGTTAAGGTTGGGCTTACTAAAACCAATGATTAACGAACCGGGCATTAAGAGTTCTGACATACCAATAAGCGATTTCTAAATCCCAGGAGTTCTTGGCGTAAAACCCTTAAAATCATTACAAAGCTCCACCACTGGAGCTTGGTTATTAATCTTCATAGTAAGAGCAGCAATTGTTAGCTTGCACTCTGAGATAGGTAAGACATAATAAGAGAAGAGAGTTTTCGTGATTTCTATAGCTGATTAAGCCATCCTCTGTTGCCCCATTAAATCAGAGAGCACTCCGATAATCATTTTATTTTGGTGTTACTGCATTGTTCTAAAAAGTGCAAGTTGTCATGAAAATTTAGGTTTTTATACTCTGATTCCAATCAGATTCGGACTGGTAAGGACTTGTCTCTAAATAAGACAGTGTTGGTTTAGGGTTTCTGTTTGGCTGCCTTCAAGAATTATTTGGTGTAATTAGCATATTAGGTTACAAAATCAGAATCGAAGATTCGAATAGACTGCGACTTTATTAGTAATAGAATCTTCGGAGCCTTCTTGAGGACTGATAAGTTCTCTCCAATTCTATCTTCAGGACTTAATAATAAGCCCTGAAATGTGCCCAGAGAGCTTCAGTCCAAAGTTCTTGCTAAATTTCTTTCTAAGAATATTTAAGTGGTAGAAAAATATTCAGAAAGAAGTTCAGATTTGTTATATATCCTCAAAGTCTTCACTCCTTGTTTCTTCTTAGCTAAACTATATGCTAATCTGTGCAAATTTGTAACTATATTTAAAGAATTGCTAGCATAAGTTAAAAATACTAAACTTCAATACATAAGAGAAGGCGATTTAGAAAAATTAGGAAGCCTCTTTTATTCCAATCGCAAAAATATTCAAACTACGCTCATAATTTGTTCTACTTTAAATAGAGTATTGGTTCTTGTTTGTTTGTTCCATGGCATATTCAGGTGAACTAGCCATAAATCTTTACTTTTATGCCAATAAAAGGACTCTTCAAAAGCATGCCCAACTAAGAGGAACATCTGACAAATAAATTGCTCGTAACTTGAGAGTTAGAAATCTTCAAGTTCAGGTCAAGATTTTTAGAAATTTCAAAACTCAAGAGATTAATAAATTTATTCCTTTAAGTTGCTAAACTCAAGATTTGAGATTTGGGAATAGATTTCAGAAGACCTCTAGACATTATTCTCATCAGAGGGCTTAACGTACAGATGCTTAAAAATAAGGCACACTTCTAAAGAAGCACTATAAGTCTTTTCTAAAGTCCTCAACCTGGCTTACCATGAATATTATAGAAAATTATTAACTTGCACTTTGTTTTTACACATAATTGAGAAGAAAGAGTGAAGAATAATTATGATCTTGGGGTCTAAGGTTTAGAAAATAGCTAAAATACAGTTTTACTCTCTAAAATACTTTAAAAAATTAAATTAAGATTACTTAAATATTTTTACCTCCTTGGTTGACCTCTCTCTTCTGCCTCAATGGAGAAGCAAATGAGAGCTCAGAACTTATGAATTTTAAGAGTTGATTAAATCGTTAGAGAAGATTTCGTTCGTTGTTGCTCTTTGAAGCTATAAAAACATATTTATTAAGATATATAAGTCTTTATTACTCCTTACTGTGCAGACATTATCAAGCCAAGGACTAGCTGCAGCAGGTTAAGCTGTCTTAAGCAAGCTTCCAGGCTTAGTAAGAGCAAACTTTTATAAGAAATGGTAAGAAAATTGACTAAATTCCTAAGAATAATTCGAAAGTTGTTTATATAAATATCTAAAATATTTTGGAGTAACCTGAATTTTCTCTTCTGCCTTAGAGGCTTCCAATAATTTTGAAAGTTTTACAGTAAGCATGTACTTAGGAGAAAAAATTATCTTCAAAGTTTGAGCTTCTGACTCTTTGTGTAACAAGAGAAAGCATTAGATAAATATGGTACCACCTCTCAAGATTATCAGTAAGTAAAAACATTAGACTTTTCAAAATACTACCAAATTGATCGTAAAGAGCTGCTTGCTAGTTTAAGCTCTGTCCACAAGGACAAGCACTCCATATACCTGTTTCTTCGAAACTGAGCAAAATAATGGAGTTTGATAATATAAAAATAAACTAGTGAAAATAGTGGTCGAGGAATCACCAATTTTGTGAGCAATCAAGGAGACATAAGTCTTTTATGAGAGACAGACGACTTCTAGCCTGTCTTAATGTATCAATAAGTCTATCTTCCTAGTTTTTTGCTCATTAGGCTCATCTTCTTTGAGTCGATTTGTCAACTTTAAGTGCATACATAAAATTTTACTCAGAAATAGATCAAGAAAGATGCCGAGAAATGGCAGCATAGAACTGGGAATATTTAATTCAGTATTTACTAACTCTTGGGGCTGCAGACTAGCTCCTCATCATGAGCATGGATTAACCTCAGCCTTCAGTATCCTCGAAAATAGTAGTCAGAACCGAAGAGAAGATTCAAGAGAGAAATCAAAAGAGAACTGAAGAAATTTTTAAGACCTTTTAGTGAAAATAGAGGGCTCATCTTTAAATATTGGGCTTCAGAATGTTAGTGCTTTGTAGAGTCACGGAAGAGGAGAGGAATCACTATCTATTTAATTTCAACTGCCAGATTTTTCCCATGTTCTGAAAGTCAAATAGGTTGTTGTTAAAACATTTTCGTAAACTCATTATGGAATTTTTCGATTGCCTCTCAAGCATTGAGAGCAGCGGATTTTAGCTCCTGTATACACTTTTTGAAATACTAAAATTATAAGATAAGGCAGGATTTTTATTCTAAGCTCTTAAAGCAAACATTTAGCTGCAAATCTTTATTCTTTGTTGATCCAGAAAATGCATAAAATTCTAAAGTCAAAGTTTGAGCTTCTATTTTTGGACTACAATTTCGAGATAGCACCCAGCTAAATCTCAGGTAATCTTTGACTCTCTGGTTCTGAAAAGATATCTCTTTCAAGTTAAATATGGCTCATGGAGTAAGGAGATATAGCCATGAAAGATATTATCTAAATAAATTTTTACCCTTGCAATTCAGAATGAACTTAGACTAAGAATTGTTCATCCACCATTTCTTTGTAGCAGAAGCCTTACTTTAGAAGTGTATAAAAGCCTTACTTGAGGAGTCTACACAAGACAAAGAAAGTCTCAGTCTATATCAACACCTTAAAAAACAAAATCTATCGAACATAAGCTCTTAAATAAATCCTCCCAAGCACCTCATTCAAACCCACAAATTACTTTCTCCTAAAGAACTATACACCACAAAGACCCAACCCCTCTAAATTCCCTCATGAAGTCCATTCCAAAACACCCCAATTCTAATCCACTCTAATTCCCCACACTGTGCATTCACATTTCCTTCACTCCCACCCCTCCCTCTTCCACACCTAAGCTGCCTATATCCCACTGCTGGTTCCTAATACCTGGCTTGACCAGGACCCCGTTCGGCTATCGCCTTTTTATAGGAATTTTATTCTGTAGTAGGGGAGATTATGGGGTTTTGGGGTTTTGGGGTTTTGGGG